AGACAGACACACAGCTGAAGGTCGACTGAAGGTCAGACACACAGCTGAAGGTCGACTGAAGGTCAGACACACAGCTGAAGGTCGACTGAAGGTCAGACACACAGCTGAAGGTCAGACACACAGCTGAAGGTCGACTGAAGGTCAGACACACAGCTGAAGGTCAGACACACAGCTGAAGGTCAGCTGAAGGTCAGACAGATGAGTATATGCAGAAACATACCTTCAAGAAGGAGTAAAGACAGATGGACATCCAATTGGTCAACATCTTCTCAACAACTGTCTCCGTCCTGAAAGACAGCAGGACAGCTCAGTCCAAGCTCAGGACCTAAACCAGGTCACCTAGTTGTGAAAATACACATCTGGTCCACAACACTACTGAACTCATGTCCTTAGTTGTACTGGGACTAGGGATGGGTGATATRGACTAAATATTTATCACAATAGGTAACGATAAGTGATGATAAAAATATATATATCAGCTTAATTCTTTTTTTATAAATTTATCACTACATTCTGTCTTGAGAGCCCTAAAATACTAGAAGCCACTTAACTACATTAAGTTCAAGTAGGACAGCTGTGTTGTAAAACTGACACTCATCAAAGMAAGACTGAAATATGAGACAAATGACATTCATTTAAATGGTGTAAACAGCTAAACTTATCAACAACAATGGACTAAGGTTTATATCTTTGTACTAATCATTATCTTTGAAAACCTCAGAAGAACTCTAACTCTTGTAAAATATCAGTAATATAATAAAAATATAAAACTATAAGAAAAGACTATTTACTAATCAATGAAAATAATGAGTTTTGCTGCTCAGGGAGGTAARTCTATGATATCTGTGCTAGGGGTGTCCCAATCCGATATTGATATCGGTCTGATATCAGCCAAAACATGAGTATCAGATTTTATCGACCTGCATAAAAAATGTCCGATTTAAGCGCTCCGATATTAGCAGTCCAATCCAGCAGTTCACTGACTCCACTCCAGTGTTTCTATCCAGCAGAGCTTGGATCCGGCTTGTAGCGCTCACGTGATCACAACAACATGCAGCGCTAACAAGTTAGCAAGAATTTCGGCAGAACTTTCTATTTTCATCAGAAACAGTTGCAGCTAAGTGTAAAGTTGTCACGCACAAGTTTTCTGAGGGGGAACAGAACCGTGAACATTTAAAACCGGAGCTACAACTACTCTCCACCCTGGCAGCAGCTTTGCATTTCGGCTCGGTTCGTTCAGCCTCGGTCCAGTGACCGCACACAGCCAAGCTGTTTCAGAACCTCCTCTCTGGTCCGGTCAGTGGTTCTAAGCTGGCAGAAGCGAGGACAGCACGCTTACAGTTTTGACATCCCGTGGATTAG